AGGAGGGTGGGACAATCTCAGACTGGTGTCTAGAGGGGTTGGGAATCACCATCCTTGGAGGTCTTCAAGGCTTGGCTACCCAAAGCCACAGCCAACCTGAGTGGGTGTTGGAGGCTGCTGTGTTTTCCATGGACCACAAAGGTGCCCTGCAGCCAACACCAGCCACCAGCCAACAACAACCTCCTGGGCACAAAAACATCCATAGTTTCAAATCTGAAGCATAACAGGGGTATTGAGGAGAGCACCTGAACCATGACAGGAGTGTTGGGGAGAAAACCTGAACCATGACAGGAGTGTTGAGGAGAAAACCTGAACATCCCCAAATGTTCAGGAGCATTTGGGGAGCACCTGAACCACAACGAGGGGTGTTGAGGGGAGCATGTGAACCATGACAGGGGTGTTGAGGGGAGCCTGTGAACCATGACAGGGGTGTTGAGGGGAGCCTGTGAACCATGACAGGGGTGTTGAGGAGATAACCTGAACCACAACAGGGTGTTCAGGGGAGACACTACTCCCTGCACCAGCCCCAGTTTGGATGGACAGCACAGCCAACACGTGGCTTTGGTGGAAACCTCTCAGCCCAGTTGTGCAGTTCATCTGATCCAAGAGGGTGCTGGGCACCAGCCCCCAAAGAAAATCCTCTTTTCCTCCACCCCTGAGCCTGGTTTTAGCTGCTTCCCCCAGCACATGAGTGGGGTAAGAAAACAGCCACTGTGCAATGCTCTGCCCCAAACACTGCCAGACCTGGTGCTGCTGAACTGTGGGTGATGTTCTCCAGGGATCAAAGCACCTGCAAACCTTTGGGAAAGCCCACATGGGACACCTGCCTGTGTTCCACTGCCCCTGATTCCAGCCATGTCAAAGGCTGTGTGCTCTCCCTCCCCACACACCCACACCAAACTCCCCGGCACAAGCAGTGCTGACTCCATTGTTTACCAACAGGGATGGCTCCCCATTCCAGGAAATCAGCAGATTTACAGCCCTCCTGCCACTGTTTATAGCAGGGAAAGACACACATTGCCCCAGGGAGGATATGAGAGATTCCTAGGAACTCCAAAATTCCCAAATTGCACCTTTCCCCCAGGAACGAAAGCCCTTAGCCCAGGTCTCTCAGGTGCAGGTGGTGGGACACTCTTGGCACTCCATGGGCAGCAGGAGCTTTCTGTGAGGGCACCTTTTGTCTGGGAGGAACCTTTGTCCATATTCAGTTTTGGGAGTGGGACTGGCAATTTCAGCTCAGTGTTCCTGCAAGGGAACAACAGCCCTTCCCCCAGGAAAGAAAGCTCTAACCCTCGGTGTCTCAGGTGTAAGTGGTGGGCCACCCTTGTCCCTACATAGGCAGCAAGAGCTTTCTGTCCTGGCAACTTTTGTCTGGGAGGAATCTTCACCTGTATTCAATACTGGGAGTCGGACTGGCAGTTTAGGGCAGGTTTCTACAAGGAAACAGCAGCCTTTTCCCCCAGGAAAGGAAGGCTGGAAACTTTAGGTTTCAGGTGCACTTGTTGGGCCACCCTGAGCCAAGAGTGGCTGACCAGCTGCACATGAGAGACAGACAGTAAGGGCTTTCTTTCCTGGGGGAAAGGGTTGTTGTTTGTTTGCAGGAGCCTTGCACTGAAATTGCCAGTCCCACTCCCAAAATTCAGCATGGATAAAGATTCCTCCCAGACAAAAGGTGGCAGGACAGAAAGCTCTTGCTGATTATGGAGTGCCAATAGTGGCCCACCAGCTTGACCTGTAACACAGAGGTTCCAGGCTTTCTTTCCTGGGGGGAAGGGTTGTTGTTCCCTTGCAGGAGCCCTGGGCTAAAATTGCCAATCCGACTCCCAAAAGTGAATACAGGCGAAGATTCCTCCCAGACAAAAGGTGGCAGGACAGAAAGCTTTGCTGATTATGGAGTGCCCTGGGTGGCCCACCAGCTTGACCTGTAACACAAAGGTTCCAGGCTTTCTTTCCTGGAAAAAAGGGCTTTGGTTGGCTTGCAGGAGCCCTGTGCTGAAATTGCCAGTCCAACTCCCAAAATTGAATGTGGACGAAGATTCCTCCCAGACAAAAGGTGCCCTCACAGAAAACTCTTGCTGCCTATGGAGTGCCCAGGGTGTCCCACCAACTGCACCTGAAAGCCAAAGATTATAGGCTTTCTCTCCTTGGGGAAGGGGCCATCACTCGTTTGTAGGAGCCCTGCGCTGAAATTGCCAGTCCCGCTCCCAAAATTCAGCACAGATAAAGATTCCTCCCAGACAAAAGGTGGCAGGATAGAAAGCTCTTGCTGATTATGGAGTGCCAAGAGTGCCCCACCAGCTTGACCTGTAACACAGAGGTTCCAGGCTTTCTTTCCTGGAAAAAAGGGCTTTTGTTGGCTTGCAGGAGCCCTGTGCTGAAACTGCCAGTCCCACTCCTGGAAGTCAATACAGGAGAAGATTCCTCCCAGACAAAAGGTGCCAGGACAGAAAGCTCTTGCTGCCCATGGGGTGCCCTGGGTGGCCCACCAACTTTACCTGCATTACAAAGGTTACAGGTTTTCTTTCCTGGGGGAGGGCAGTCATTGACTTGCAGGAACCCTGGGCTGAAATTGCCAGTCCGACTCACAAAACTGAATACAGAGGAAGATTCCTCCCAGACGAAAACTGCTAGGACAGAAAGCTCTTGCTGCCTGTTATGCTCTTCATTAGGCTATAAGCCGCCCAGAGCGGTTACATTTTTATTTAAGACTTTTTAAAAGCCTTTTGGTTCGTTATAACCTCTAATTAGCGTCCGGAGAAAGAGTCACACGCTCTTCTCTAAGAGAAATTCTTTTTAATTTAGTGGGAAAAAAATAAGATATTTTGGCAAAAGGTCTTTACAGGAGTAAAATTCAACCAAGAAAAAAGCATTTCACTAAAACATTTAACATTCCAGGCCAGAGTGAGCTGTGCTGTAGCCAGTCACAGGCTGCAGGGGTGTGGTGTGCTCGGGCTACCAGGCAGGTCTGCCTTGACTGACAGCCCAGCTACAGGCCTTCAGCTCTGCCCTGTGCCCTCAGCACAGGCCTTACCACGTTCCTGCAGGTCCTTCCCCACCTGCACACACACACAGAGTGAGTTGGTTCTGACCCATATCAATAATTCAGCAAGATTCAGATCCAGGATCTCACACCTTCCCCCCAGGAAAGAAAACCCTTACTGCCTGTCTCTCGTGTGCAGGTGGTGGGCCACTCTTGGCACTCTTTGGGCAGCAAAAGCTTTCTGTTGTGGCACCTTTTGTCTGGGAGGAATCTTCTCCTGTATTGACTTCCAGGAGTGGGACTGGCAGTTTCAGCACAGGGCTCCTGCAAGCCAACAAAAGCCCTTTTTTCCAGGAAAGAAAGCCTGGAACCTTTGGATTTCAGGTGCCCTTGGATTTTCACCCTCTGAGATCAAGAGATCAAGGAGTGTTGAGGGTTTTTGGCAGCTTCCCAGGCAGGAGAGGAAATTCCCGTCCAAGTCCAGAGTGATCCTGAGTCATCACAGGAAAAACAAGTGAACAGAGGTCATATCACAAGCACCAGGGTCACCAACTGTCACCTGCTCCAACAAAACAAGCACACAGGTTGGGGAAGTGATGGAATGCTCAGTAACCATCAGGGCTGTTTGCATGGCGAGAAAGTGTAGGGATGTCTTGTTAAGAGAAGGTCATGAAAAATGCACCCATGGGTGTGTGTTCCAGGAGTGGCACAGGGCCAGCGTGGGACAGTTGCCAAGGAAGGAAGTCTGCTGTCCCACCAAAGATGTCCATCAAGGCTGGAGAAGATTTATTTACCCTTACTCTGATGGATTTTATCCCAAGAAAGATCTCGTTTTAATCTTCCCTGGGAAAAAAAGCCCCCTCTGTGAGAGGAAGGATGAGATCTGGGTGCTTCACTGCACCTTCCTGGTGTGGTGCAGCCCCAGGCTGCAGCTTGGTGGGTGCTGGGTAACCTCCAGCCCCTCTCCTAGCAAGGATTTTGGCCTCCCTTCCCGGCCAGGATCTCCCACAGGCTGTGACCTTACGCTCATTTACCCCATTAGAGCTTCTCCTTTCCTTCTCCTCCCTCCCTTGAATTGCCAAGCACCTCTTTTTTGCCAGTGAGCTGGTGGTTTTTTGTGGAAGTGAAACTTCTCGGGCAGTGTTTCTGGAGCTGCTGAAGCTTTGCCAATCAGCCACCACCCATCCCACCTCCACCTCTTGCTGGCTACAGCCCTACCAGCATCTCCAGCCTCCAGCTGTAAAGTAGTTTTGGAGGAGCAACACCAGTTACAGCAAAAAAGGAACTGTAATTTCAGGTTGGAAACAACCAGTTTTGGTGGAAACCTCATGGTGCAAAACCCCCCATGTCTGTGCTGTGTTCACCCATCAGCTCCTGAGTGGCTCAGATTGCTGCACTCAGGTGTAGAAGTTGCCCAAAGACCTTTGTCCTGGGGAGGAAAGCTGGAATTTCCCAGTTTCAGACCTTTAACCAGCAAGAAGTAGGATTTTCAACTTTACACAGTCACAGGATTTTATTTCCTCAATGAAAAGCAATGTGAAAATATTAGTGGGTATTTTGTGTTTTCAAACACACACACACAAACACACTCTGTTCCCTCAAGGCATTCCTGCTTCAAACTCAAAGCAAATAACCACATATCTGACCAGACTGGGCTCATAGTCATGACTTTGTTTCTTTTCACATTATTCAATCAGCTAATTACAAAAAGCATCACCTGGAGGGAAAGGAGTTAAAGTGAGAACCAGCTTAGGGCAACCCTGGAGCTTCAGCCAGGCCTGATCCAGGCAGATATTTCACCACACTCCCACCCTTAATCACAGGGGAGCCACTGTGATTCCAGTGTGCACCATTTCTGCAATACAAGTCCATTTAGAAGTCAGGGAAATGGCTCAGATTCAGAGCAGCACGTTCACACTCAGGGACACCACTCACTGCAAAGGATGCTCAACCCAGAGCACACGCTCTGCCCTGCTCAGCACATCTCACTGGAAGAACAGCATGATCTCTGCCAGCAAGTTCGAGCCTTAAAGACAAGCATCAAAGTTTTCAGAGCAAAAATATCACATTCTCTCCCTGAGGGCAGGGGAGAAACAAGCAGAAGACCAGCCCACACACATTCACATGCACTGTCGGGGCTGGGGGACGGTTTCTGGGGGAGTTTTGCTAATGTGGCCCCAGAGATGTCCCAGCTTTGGCTCAGGGCAGGTTTTGAAATCCAGGGCCAGCTCTGTGGCCTTCTGTCCAGGAGATGCAAGACACACCAGCACTTCCCAGCAGAGCACAAGTCTGTCTGTGAGGCACCTCCAAAGATTTTCTAGAGTGAAACCTCCAGTGGGTCTTCTTTTGAATCTTCATGGTCCTCATTCTCCAGCTGCTCCAGTTTGCTGGATTTCTCATGGACAATCTCCCCAGGAGTCTTCAAAAACCTGTGATACATTTTTGTCATGACTTTAGGGGTATGTCCAAACCCAGCCCCAAAGCAGGCTGTAAATACTGGAGCCTTTGCCCTCAACAAGGCCAGGTTGGATGGGCCTTGGGGCAACCTGGTCTAGTGGAAGATGTCCCTGCCCATGGCAGGGGAGATGAACTTTAAGGCCCTTTCCAATCCAAGCCATGATCAGCTGAGCTCTGGAGCTCACCAGAGGGGATCTGCCACCCTTGGGCCTTGCTGAGGATCCCAGCTCTTGCTTGGAACCCAGGAAGCACCATCAGATGGGGCCTGGGTTCATTTCTCTGTTCTGCTTCGTCTCACCTGAACAGCAGCTTCTGCCCTGGCTCCTTTTTGATGATGTTGAGTTTGTAGTAATGTCTGAGTGCTCGTGACATCTTCTCATAGGTCATGTTCATCCGGTTCTGGAAAGGGGAAGAATTGTGGGGTGTTGAGTGAAAGCAAGTGCCGACACCTGGTTTGGGTCTGTCTGCAGCAGGACCACAAGTGGAACATTCTAGATGGTTCCAAAGTAGGTCTCCAACCCAGACTGCCTTCACAATCATCATTTTCCTTTCCAGGGGATGAGAAAGTCCCTCTTTCTTGACCAGGTTGGCATCTCAGCACCCACCGTGACCCCCCTTCCCCTTCCCTGTGCCATCAGCCCTGGGGGACAGGTCATGAAAGGGACCTGCAGAAGCCCAGGGGTGACAAATTTGTTCTCAGCTGCATTTACCTTGTGGTTCCCCCAGAGCTGGGCGAGTCCATTTGGGTTAACCACCCGGAAGACCTTGGCTTCCTTGTCTTCCCACCTGATGTAGGGCTCGTAGCGGCGGTCGGAGAGGAGCTGGTACACGTATTCCCACAGCAACCTGCAGTCTGAGCATGGGAGGGGGGAATAAATGGTCACAGAGCTCCCACTGTGCTCCAGTGGGGGTGTATCAGCAACAGGATCACACGTGGTAGCAGTGACAATAAATATAAGAAGAGCCCAGAGCACTTCTATTGCGAGATCTCAAAACACAGGCACGAACCACAGTTTGTTCAGGGGGGCAAACTGAGGTGGGGAAGCACGAAATAAAGGGGAGGGAGACAGCTGGGCAGACAGGACAAAGCACCATGTCATTTCCCCAAGGAGCCAGGCTATAAATTCATAATTACCTGCCATTTTCCCATCCACTGGGGCCAACGGGGTTGTAGGAAAGGAGCAGATGGCACCTGCCCTGCAGCCACTCTCTGAGCTGTGATGGGACAGGTTCAGTGGCTCCACGTGGCTGAGGAACACAGGCTGTTGTGCACAGCCCAGCCAGGAGGGAACAAGGACTGGGGCAGCCTCAGCACTGCAGTCTGTCCCTACAAATAAAAGGGAAAAAAAGCCAAATAAACACCCTGTGGCACATTAGGGCAGGTCCCAGATCTTCCAAAGCCATGAAACAGGAGGGGAGGGACAGCCCAGGGTGGTTATCAGCCTGGTGGAGCCCAGACAGGGGAGGAGGGTGCTGAGGAAAGCCTGGGATTTTCCTAAGGCAGGAGCAGCAGAAAGTCCAGGAGGGTCAGAGGAGATGCCAAGTAGGGTCAGGGTCAGGTACAGAGGAAAAACTGGAACAGGAGGATGTGCCAGAGCACAGGCACCCCCTGGCAAATTGTTGTAGAGACTTAAGGTGTTCGTTACTTTACAAGAGCCAGCAGAAGTGCTCAGGATCCACCTCCCAGATCCACCTCCACACACAGCCAGCCACTGATACCAACCTCTCCCCACCCCAACCCCTATTTGGGCCCCCCCAGGGCACTCATAAGCCTCACTGGCCCCCACAGCCTCACCTGGGGCCTCTCCCCACTACCCTTTGGCCCAGAAGCTCTATTTAAGCTCAGCCCTGGCTCCTCAGCCCTTTCCCAGCTATGCAGCAGGACCAGTCTCCAGCAGGGCTGTGCCTCTGCCTGACGATTGACCCTCCCTGATCCAGATCTCACTCTGCAGGCAGATTTCTTAGGGAAGTCACAGACTTGCCTGCTCACTACAGACCCCCCTGGTGCTGCTTAGGCCTGATTCTGACCAGACCTGCTTCATCACTACAAACTTCCCAGATGACCTGGACTTTGTTGGACCTGGTTGCCCCTCTCAGGTGCTGTGGGATGGGTTCAGCTGGCTGAGCTCCAAACCCCAGGTGTGTGTAACCCACTGGAGCTGTGGGCAGGTTCTGCTTGCTGGGCAGCTGCTGTTCTCCATCCTACCTTCCTCCGTGCTCCTGGCCTTCCCAAAGGGTGAGTTCAGCAAAGGGCTGCACACCAGAGCTCTTCTTTGAGTCTTAATTAAGCAGAGTATTTCATAAAGCACATCACCTACAGGGAAGGCAACTCTGCTCAGATGACTTTGAATAACAGACTCTCTCAAGGTGATGTTGCTGAGGTTATAACATAACATAATAACAAGGTTATTCCCCCCCAACAACAAGGGTTGTCCTTGTCCCCAGCACCAAAGTGCTAAAGCCTGGCCTGCTGGGACCCATCCAGCCCCTCTCAGCAGACCACGGGTTGTGCTTGGATGATCCTTGAAAGCCCCTTGCACTGGGTCTAACCTGAGCTGGGAGCTCGGTGTCTGAAGTCCTCCTTGGTGAGGATGCACAGGGCTTTGCCGTTCATTTCGAACTTGCTCTCGTCGGTTTGCCGAAGGGAATATTCCTTCTCAGCCCATCTGAGCCAGTGGATCACGTCATCCTTGCTCCACAGGGCGGGCTGGATCCCTGAAACCAGGAGCAGCCTCTGAAAAAACTCTATCTCCATCCTCCAAACTGCTGAGGGACAGGGTGGGATTTCTTCTCTATCGTCGAACTTTCCCTCTGTATTAAGCACTCACAGATCAAAAACACTCCAAAGAGAGAAAATGAACCCTGATGACACTTTGTCCCTCTTGCCAGCAGGGAATGGTCCCTGGGTGGGACACTGTGGCTGTACCCACCATATCCCACCCTGTCCTTTAGTAAGCAGCTTTGACTTGCTCAACCTCTACTCACTCAGCCTGCCTGGAAGCTTGAAGATCTCCCCAGTGCTGATGAGTGGCTGTCTGGCCTGGGATGGGGGTGGTAATGAAGCTGCCACAACAGGGCTGGAAGAGCTGATGGCCACTTTGCCCTGGGGAAAAGAGATCAGACATGTCAGTGGGGTCAATTCCCAGTTCTGGTCCTGCCTTGGCTTTGGAAATGCCTGCTCCAGTGTTTTCAAGCTGTTTTCTCCCAGCAGCCTGTTGTGCTGTCTGCAGCTCTTCCATACATCTTCCTCACGTTCTTCCTCGCCCCAGCCCCAGGATGAGTCTCTGGTTGCCCAACTCAGTTTTAGTAGCCAGAGATTCCCCTCTCTTTCTCCAGCTCTTGTCTTTAGCAGAGGAACCTGCCCTCATCAGGCTCTGGAAGGAGGTTATCCATCCCCACTGCCCCACGGGCTGCAGGGAGGTAGGAGATGGATCCAAGACTGGCAGAGCCTGCAGTGCCTGTGCTCCCAGTTCCTGCAGGATCCTCAGATTCTCGTTGGATGCCCAGGGTTTTAGGACAGCATTTCAATTATTTAGAACTGAGAAATGAATCTGGTAATAGTGCTTAGATTTTGTCTTAAAAACAATGTATGAAGAGAGATCTCCAGCTTTATCCCCAGTGATCATTTGGGCATAAGGGGAAATGGCCATCCCACCCCTTTCGTTGACCAGCCATTGAGTTCCAGCCCTTCAACAATTATTTTTCTCTCTCAGCCAGAGCTCACGAGCCACAAGGGAGCTCAGATCCTGCTTCCAGCCCCATCTAGATCTTGAATATTACTGGCAGCCAAGCAGATAATATTTCCCCTTAAAAATCTATTCATGTGAATCCCAGCAATTTCTCAGCTTCACCCACTGGAAAATTAACAATTTTGCAGGCAAATGGTATTTTCTAAAGCAGTTGCCAACTCTGAGCACTTCAGGCTCAGGCAGGTTTTTGGAGGTGGTTAAAGCAGCCGCCCCTTGACTGTGTGTGCGGGGTAGAGGAGCTGAGTGTCCTGAAAATCAGAGGTGAAGAATATTACAGTGGTGAGGCTTGGAAACATCTTAAATGCAAAGCTGATGTTCCCAAAACCAGGAGAATGGGGGACAGGAGGAATGCATTGCATCCCTCCAGGGAAAAGTGCTTCCCTGGCAGTGGCAGCAGGTTGGTGAGGGGTTTTCCTCAGCAGAAGGACAATTTGGTGGCTGCTGGTTGTCTCTGCAAAGCAGGCAGGTCCATGACACTGCACAAGCAAACTAGTGGGACTCCAGAATAAACTCTGAGCAGGCTTGGCAGCAATGCAAACTGTCTTTCAGATTCATTCTAAGCAATAAGGGGAAAATAAAAGTGAAAGAAATGAGCAGTGTATTTTGTCTAGAACTATCTAAAAGTTATTTTATTCTCCCATCTGTGCAACTCTCTTACAACAAGATTTACAGTAAAAACAGAACAAATCTGGTATTTTTCTTGCTCCTAAAGATTTCTAGGCCACGAGATACATTCTGAATTTTTATTACTTTATCCTGATTTTATGTTCTCGCTTTTATCCCGCTTATCTGCTTCCACACGTTTCCAAGACAGTTTTTCTTTGCTTCAAGAGGAAATACTGTCCTTGGAGGGGTTGGAGTGGGAAAGTCAGAAAAAGGGGGGTGAAAAGGAACCCCCAGATGTGTGAGAGCAGCTTTTGGCTCAGTCCCAAATGGGTGGGGGGGCGAAGCCCCGCGGCTGCTCCGGGCTCTGCGAGGCCCTTTGGAGGTGGGCTGGGTGGGCTGGGGGGTCACCCTTCGGCGGGGGCATGAGCTTCCACCTCGAATGGAGGGGGAGAAAGCCCGTGGGGACGGGGAGGAGGGAGGACGAGGGCCCGGGCAGGGGGCAGGCGGTTCCTACCTGCATCCCCGGCGCGACCCGGAGCCCTCGGTGTCCGGCACGGTCAGGTCCCGGCCCCGCGGCCGCTGCGGCTTCGGCGCGATCGTGGCGAGAAACGAAATCGAAACGAGCCGGAGCCCCGGGAGGCAGGAGAGCGGCGGGGGGCAGCGCCCGGGGCCGTGGCCTTCACCCCCCACCACCACCACTCCGCCCCTCTCGGGGCCGTGGACCCGAATCTCCTCCCGCTCCTCCGGGGGAATCGCGCTCCGCCCGGAGCATCCCGATCCTCCCGGGGCATCCCGATCCGTTCAGGGGAATCCCGCTCCGCCCGGGGCATCCCGTTCCGTGCGGGGGGTCCCGCACCTCCCGGTACCGGCACCGGGACAGCACCGGGGAACCCTCTTCTCCCGGGGATCCCGTCCGGGAGATCTTCTCCCGGGATCCCGCTGGAGCGCGGCCGCGCGGCTGGAGGAGGGAGAGATCCCGAGACACGCCGGGATCACCTCGAATACCAGGGCTCGTCCTTTCTCTCCGCCGGGCGGGGCGGGGGGACCCGGGGGAGGGGTCTGCGAGCAGCGGGAGGTGGGCGCACACCTGTAAGGTGCGCACCTGCCCGCTCGCACACCTCAGGTGTGGCGAGTAGGCACACGTCGTGGGGGTCTACTGGGAGGGATTGGGAGGCACTGGGATAGACGGAGAGGGGCTGGGACGGGATTGGATGGGGCTGGGAGGGACAAAAAGGGTACTTTTAGGAAGAAAAGGGGGGCTGGGAGCGACTGGGGGGCACTGGGGATAGACTGAGATAGAATTAGAGGGAACTGGATGAGAATGGCAAGGACTGGAAGGGACAAAAGAGGCACTTGGAATGGACTGGGAGGCACTGGGATAGACTGGGAGGGGATTGGGTGGGACTGGGAGGGACAAAAGGGGCACTGGGAGGGGACTGGGAGCCGCTGGGGCTACTGGGGTAGACTGGGATATACTGAGATGGACTGGGAGGGGGCTGGGAGCCATTGGGACAGGACTGGGATAGCCTTGGCGGGGATTGGATGGGACTGGGAAGGACTGGGAGGCACTTTTTAGGGACAAAAGGGGCCCTGGGATGTACAGGGAGGGCACTGGGATAGACTGAGAGCACACTGGGACGTATTGGGAGGGCACTGGGATGTCCTGGAAGGACACTGGGATAGACTGGGAGGGCACTGGAATGTCATGAAGGACACTGGGATAGACTGGGAGAGCACTGGGGTGTCCTGAAGGGCACTGGGATAGACTGGGAGGGCACTGGGATGTCCTGAAGGGCACTGGGATAGACTGGGAGAGCACTGGGGTGTCCTAGGAGGGCACTGGGATAGACTGGGAGAGCACTGGGACGTCCTGAAGGGCACTGGGATAGACCGGGAGAGCACTGGGGTGTCCTAGGAGGGCACTGGGATAGACTGGGAGAGCACTGCGGTGTCCTAGGAGGGCACTGGGATAGACTGGGAGAGCACTGGGACGTCCTGAAGGGCACTGGGATAGACTGGGAGAGCACTGGGGTGTCCTAGGAGGGCACTGGGATAGACTGGGAGAGCACTGGGGTGTCCTAGGAGGGCACTGGGATAGACTGGGAGAGCACTGGGGTGTCCTAGGAGGGCACTGGGATAGACTGGGAGAGCACTGCGGTGTCCTAGGAGGGCACTGGGATAGACTGGGAGAGCACTGGGGTGTCCTGAAGGGCACTGGGATAGACTGGGAGAGCACTGGGGTGTCCTGAAGGGCACTGGGATAGACTGGGAGGGCTCCGCTCCCCGGCCCCCTCAAGCCCCGCCCCTTCCCACTCCTTCGTTTTCCATTGGCCAGTCTGGGAAGTCAATCACGTAGCGGGGCCAATCGCCTGTCGGTGTGGGTGGCGGGCGGGGCTCAGTGGCGGGGCCCCGCCCACCGCCCGCCCGAGGGAGCGGCCGCGGCGGGGACGCGGTGAGTGAGGCCTGGAATGGGGGCGAGGGGTCGGGACTCTTTGGGGGCTTTGAAGGGGCTTCTTCCCGGCTCATTATGAGCCTTTAGGGGTCTTCACGGACCTCTCTGTGCTTTGAGGGCGGTTATGGGCCCGGGGGCGTCTGTGGTGTGCCGTGGGGCTGAGGAGGGGGGGGGCTTCCTTGCGCCGCGGGCAGGGAGGAAGGTGCGGGGCTGAGGGGGAATGTGGGGATCACAGGGGACAGTCGGGGAGTCTGGGGATCACAGGGGACATGGAGGGGGATGCGGAGCCGAGGGGGTTCAGTGGGGGCGTCAGTGTTGTGAATGGGTTAGGTGGGGCCTCAGGGGACATGGAGAGGGGCGCAAGGCTGAGGGAGGGTGCGGGTATCACGGGGGACATGGAGGAGGGGGCTGAGGGGTTGTCTGGGGTGGTCACAAGGGGCTTTATTCTTGTCGCTGGGCTTCAGAGGGGCCTGGGGCGCCAGGGGGTTGTCTGGGCGGTCACAGGGGACATGGAGGAGGGTCTGGGGTCACAGGGGCTGAGAGGGGGTCTAGGGGTCTCAGGGGACTTCATTGTTGTGAGTGGGCTTTGGAAGGGGCTGTGGGGCTGAGAAGGGGTCTGGAGTCACAGGAGACATGGAGGAGAGGTCTGGGGGGGCTACAGGGAGCTTTATTGTTGTCAGTGGGCTTTGGAGGGGCCTGGCAGGCTTTGGGAGCTGCTCTCTGTGTGTTTGGGGGCAGCACCTTGTGTGCACTGAGTGGGAGCGTCTGTGGGGCTGGGGCTGCCTCTTTCTTTTTTGTGTTTACTTGGAAAGGGGGTCTTTAGGGCGTTTCCTACACTCTGTGTTTGCAGGGGGCTGGGGCTGTTGTCTGTGGGTTAGTGCTGCATCCCTGTGTCCCTGACATGTCACCCTGTTTCCTGGGCTGTGTGGGAGGCCAGGACTGTGCCCAGTGCCCTGTGCTGAGCCTGCTGCTGTGCCCACCACCCCCAGAATGGAACCAGCCTCCCCTTGGGGTGTTGCTTGGTCACACACTGCCCTCCCATGCCTGCTCTGGGGCTCTAGGCTGGTGCAGTGTTATTCTTACCATGTTTTTAGGCTTGAGTTTACCTTCCTTGTCCTCCCTCCTTTCTGTCCCCACTGGTCTTTGAAAGGAGCAGATGTTTTAAGGGATTTTCCCCTAAATGAGTGAGTAGGTGAGACCTCAGCCCACTTCTGCTTGTAGGCACTTTCTTGTGTCATCCCTGATCCTGCCTCTCTCTGTGCTGCCTTCTCAGTGACCTGAGGCTTTTCAGGGAAGGGGTGATAATAATGCAGACAGTCTTGGGTATGAGGTTTAATAAGGCCAAGCTCAAGGTGCTGCACCTTGGTTGTGGCGACCCCCGGGATCAGTCCAGGTTGGGGAATGAAGGGATTGATTGCAGATGGGGGGAAGGACTTGGGAATGAGATGTTGGATGTGCCCTCTCCACGTGCACTGGCACCCAGAGACCCCCCATATGCTGGGCTGATCCCACAGTGTGGGCAGCAGGTGAGGGGGGGATTCTGCCCCTCTGCCCCCTCAGGTGAGACCCCACCTGCAGAGCTGCCTCCAGCTCCGGGGGCCCCAAAACAGGAAGGATGTGGAGCTGCTGGAGCAGGTCCAGAGGAGGCACCAAGATGATCAGAGGGATGGAGCAGCTCTGCTGGGAGGAAAGGCTGGAGAATTGGGATTGTTCAGCCTGGAGAGGAGAAGTCTTTGGGGTGACTGACTGCAGCCTTCCAGTACTTGAAGGAGCCAACAGGAAGATGGAGAGAGACTATTTAAAAGGGCATGGAGTGACAGGACAAGGGGAATGGCTTCCCACTTCCAGAGGGCAGGGTTAGATGGGATATCTGGGAGAAATCCTTCCCTGTGAGGGTGGGGAGGCCCTGGCACAGGTTGCCCAGAGAAGCTGTGGCTGCCCCATCCCTGGAAGTGTCCAAGGCCAGGTTGGACAGGGCTTGGAGCAACGTGGGATAGTAGAAGGTGTCCCTGCCCATGGCAGGGGTAGAACAAGCTGAGCTTTAATGTCTCTCCCAACCCAGGCCATTCTCTGGTTCTATAAACCTGGGAGGCTGAGAAGCTCTGTAGGGGGAGTCTTTTGAATGACTTTGCCAGGATTGCTGCAAACCCAAATCCTGTTGTAGCAGTAGGTTATGGCTTTAAGGCAGAAAGTTCTCCCTGAATGTGCCTTATCCTCACCTCAGTCCCAGTCCTTCCTGCACAATCCCAAACAGTTCACTGGGAGGAGGTTGTGGCTGGGAATCAGTGGGAAGGCTCAGCTTTCCCTGATGAGGTGTGTCCCTGTTTACCCTGTGCTGGGGCTGTGAGGCTGCACTACTCACAGTCACCTGGATTTGAGGGCTATAAATACCTCAGTTCAGAGAAGTGTTTTTTGTGATGTAAACATCAAAACAAGTGAATTACTGGGGTCAGAAATTGTAGGTTAGTTTGTAGACAAAGCTGCTTGTGAGAGTTGTTATTATTCTTCAGGCTGGATTGCCACGTGCCTTTATTACTGTTCTATTTAGGGACAGTCACCTTTTACCAAAATAGACTGATGCTGTTTATAACCTCTGAGTACTTACATCACTAAAAAAAGATGCCCTTTTGCAAAGCAGCCTGTACAACAATTGTTTATCCTGGCACAATTGTCTTTATTTCCTATAATAACATCCACGTAAAAGGGTCTTCTGTGCTCTGATCTTACAGCTCAAATGCAGCAGTTTCTGTAGAATAAGTGAAACCTGTGCAGATGATTGTGTCTAGACTTATTTCAGCTTATCTTAAAGCAATTAGGAAGAGGTTAAAGTAAGTTCTGCTGTCATGGAATTAGGCATGTGCTGAGTTATTGGTATTGTTTCAAGACAGACCTATTTGCAGCACACAAAAAGCTTTTGGATCTCTTTCAGTGCTGCCTTTTGCTGGTAGAGTTGGAGGGGGTGAGTTTTCTGTTTGAAAGGAGTGATCTTTGTTGTAGGAGTTCATCACATCATTTTATTTTTGGGGAGCTCTCTGTTTTGTATTAAACTGTATAAATGAGTGGAGTTCAGTGAGCCCAGCCAAGCTGCAGGTGCTGACCTGGAAGAAGTTGTAGTTGGAAGGACCAAACTGGTTATTTC